AAGTTAAGGAATTTATGACCACTAACCCTACAAACTAGCCCTACCCCGAACTGCCCTGTGGCTCATGCAGGCTTAAAGATGCCTTCAGCATATTTGTCACTTGTTTACTTTGTGCTCTTTTTGAGATGTTAGTTTTTGTGTCAAACTCTGCATAGGGTCCTTGGCGAATCTTGATGCAGAACAGCTACCCGCACAGGTGGAGCCGCCACAGGAGGTGGCACAAGGCCAGCCTGGGCGCCGTCGCAGAGCAGGCCTTTCACAGAGCTTCTTTACATGACATCCATGTTTCCCACGGATTTGGTGATTTAAGCGATTCTTGGATCAACGAGGTTTCCTTGACGCTCATGTTTCCTTTACGCTGAGGTTTCAGCGCCATGGTGATGCAGTGGGGTTCTCAGGATCGTAGGATCCGGCAGAGCAGTCAACCGCGACGCCCTGCAGTGCCCTGCGGTGCCATCTGAGGACGGCTCCCGGTGAGGTGGTGGACTGAGCTCGAAGGGATGTGAATGGAGAAATGATTTCTTAAAGGTTTTGTGAAAGGATTTCTGCGAAACCCTTTTGGTCCCGAGTTTTTCGTATTTCTCGGTGAAGAAAAGGCAAAAGAGCTTTTTCCCTGATTAAACGTGCTAAAAGCAGTCCGTGCATTCTGATTTTCCTGTCGATTCTCCTACGGTGCTTCATTTGTTGATCTCTTCCAGGCTCGAAAGTCCTCCCAGGCCGTGGAAGCAGAGCTCCAGGCACGAGGAGAGTCAGGGCTGAGAAGAAGAAGAAGAAGAGGAGGAAGAAGAAGAAGAAGACAAAGAAGTTTTGTTTTCTTTCTTTAGTCGCTCAACATGGAGACCCAGAGCCTCTCCCAGAGCCTCTCGGAGCCTCCCCCAGTCACTATCTCCTGGACCATTTGTCAATTCGACACTTGGCTTCACTGCGCTTGCAGGGCGCAGAGTTATTGTCAGACCCTGCACGACCACCCGAGGAGGCGGAGGAACTGATTTGACAGCGGTTGGACTAATGAGTCGTCCACCATCTGAAGAGTCAGACTCAGTCAGACCTAAAAAGCTTCTTGTTGCTACAGGTGAAACGAATGAAACGATTCCCAAGGTAGCTTCTAGTTCCTAGAATCCTAGAAAGCTTTAGAAGCTTCAAAGACATACTGGCCAAAAAAGCTTATTGTTACTATCTTTGAGCCTTGCAACATTTGATTTCCTGTGAGTGGCACGGCACGATCTCTTCGTGGGGTCATAAACATCAAGACAAATCGCACTCCTGAGGAAGCAAGTGGGCTGGTGTGGACTTTGGTGACCCTTTTCTTGAATGTATGATACATAATGTGTTACATTGTGATACATGATGTGTATCATACATTTCAATAGTTCTCTGACATCTTTTTGACCGGTCTTGACGGAGCTCCGACGAGGCGGTGGACGCGAACCAAGAGATCCCATCAGTGGAGGCGACGTCGAACCACTTCGATCTCTGCGTCGAACACCTTCGGCTCCAGGCACTGCTCCAGATGCTGGCCGAAGAGGCGTGGGAGGGAAAGAATATACAGAAACGAAGAAATTAGCCGAACTAGCCCAACCAACCTCAGAAAATGGAGGTATGTTCAGGAAATGTGGCCATTCAACCATAGGAAGTGCATGCTGCTGCTCAGGATTCGCCGCAAGAATCTGCACCAACGGTCACCGCTTCAGCTGTAGAGGACCAGTGACTTCCTTGTCCTCGCGTGCGAAGCATATTTGTGCGGCTTGCTCTAGAAGTCTTTGAGCTATGCGAGTCAATAGGAGACTGTCCGCGGACAGTGATACAGGTGAGATCAGGTGAGCGTATGATGAAGTGGGCAGGGAATGGCAGGGACTAGACAACCAGCCTTTGAAGTGCTTCATAGAGGTTTGGAAGTGGTCACGAGTGATCTTGTCGACCACTGTAACTCAGGCATTCGCACATTCTCTTTGCCAACTTCCTATCCTTTCCGAGACTTTAGTATCAAGGGCATCGCTACTAGGAGCAAGAAGCTACTAGTAGCTCCTGGCATTACTACTAGGAACAAGAATGCTACTGGGAACAAAGGGTGGCATCATTACTAGTAGCCTTCTTGTTACTACCATTTGTCAGACCCAATTCTCTGACCTTCAGGATCCGTCGGAGAGGCAGGTCGCTGCTGAACTGGCAGCGAGTTCAGTGGCTTCCGAGAAAGCTGTGCAGGATCTCACTGGTTCAAGTGCGGAGTTACGCAACTAGAGTAATTCTATAGAGGAGTCAGGAGTGTAGAGTCTATTAATGAGTTCAGTCTCTTTGGCAGTCATTCTTCAAGAATATCTATATGTGTAGAGTCCTTTTGCTGGGATTTCCTGGAAGAAAGACTCAGACTCCAACTCTCTTCGCTCTCTTCATCCTGTGCTTTTTGCATCAAATCATGGCAACTTTGATGTTTCTTTCATGTTCGTACTCACCTAGGAGCCCCGACCCTCCGGGCGGCGGCGGAAAGGCTGTGGGGGGTAGCTCAAATCCGGAAGATCTGTAAAAGGTAGCTCAATCCAAGGAGCTCAATCCTGCGGCAGGGAGGGCCATGTGACATGTGGGGATCGTCCTGAAATGCCTCGGCCAGAGCTTATGAGAACGCTGAATATGCCTTAGAGCCTTGAATTTCAGACGCAACATAAATAGACCATATGTCCTCCTTAATATCCCTTGAATCCAAGGTCTGTCACGGGTCTCTTGGGGTAGAGCAGAGTGACAGAGGCTTCAGCACAGCTTTGCAAGCCTTGTTGGGGCCTGAGCAAGATTTACAAGTGATTGGAAGGCCAAGATCCTCAGTACTGTTGCCATAGACCAATTGTGGAAATAGTGATCGCAAGTTACTCGCGCTTCAACGTCCTTGTTGGCTTGCCTGTGCTTGCCTTGCTTTCTTCGTCTTTTTTTGGACCGACATCAAACAGCACTGACTGAAGGGGCAATGGCAGATGTGTTGAACTGTTGCTTAGGCCAAAAGAGGAGGTGCAGGTACAGTATTCATGCGCTTACTCCAACCTAATAGCTTCCAACCTAGAAGCAATGGCCTCCAACCTACTAGCCTTTGTTTTTCATGTTGTTGCAACTTTTCTTTTGGATATCTTGGCTGGAAGACGTCACTGGCAGCCGTTCTTCGCACTGTATGTTGTAAAAGTTCGTTTGCAGGAGCCGACCGATGCTGTTCCATCAATGGAGGCTTCACCTGTTTATTCTACACTTTGCTCCTCACCGTCTCCATTGGTTCCCGCTTTCAATTATGGAATTCACCGGGAGCCTGGAAGCTACTCGTAGCTAGTAGCACGCTACTAGGGGCTCCTGGCCTTACTACTAGGAACAAGGACGCTACTAGGAACAAAGGGCATCGCTACTAGTTCCCGCGTTTCCCGGTTGGGATGACGCTTTCTGCGCTCTCCGCAGGCACTTCTCGCCATGCTTGACGCACAGCATGGTACCTCAGGGACGACGGACTCCACCGGACTTGTTGCGTCCTTGCTCCGTTCGTAGCGATGCCCTTTGTTCCTAGTATAGTGACGGACAATCACTTAGAACAAATCGGTGAAAAATAGACAAGAAAATGGACCTGCAAAACCTTAGACTTAGAACATGCAAAAACCTGACACTTAGAACATGATAAACCCATCACTATGTGACTCTTATTTTTTTGGTGAAAAAACACTATGTTCTAAGGCCTTTGCGGAAGGTGCCACTAGTAGCGATGCACCTTGCTACTAGAGCTTCTTGTTACTAGTAATGTCAGGAGCTACTAGTAGCTTCTAGCTACTAGTAACGATGCACTTAGTCCGGACTCCCTTTGTTCATCGGTCGCTGCTTGGAACGCCTCTTCAGGTGATGCACGACAAAGCTTGAGCCTTGAATGAGAGCTGCGATGAATTGAGCTGAGATTCAAAGAGAAACGATGAGGCTGATTCAGCTGAGATTGTGAGTGAGATCTAGTCTTGAAAGGTCTTGACGTTTGAGGCCTTTGCGGAATTTTGTCAAAACATACTCATAAGATTGCTTCGACCCATCGAACATCAGAAAGCCTTTTCCTGGCGGGCAATTCAACAGGCTCAATCGCTTGTTACGGCCTACAATCCCTCTGAGGCAGCGTGCCAGCAAAATATCAGGCCTGGGCGGCCTGGGTTGGAGGTCGCAGCACGGATGGGCTGCAACTTTCATCTCAACAGCATGTGAAGAGCCTTGAGGGGTGGAGTATTGTTTACGACGATGCGAATATGGCTCATGGGACGGACATGACATCTGGCTCTGGTAGGTCAAATGCAACAACATCAATGTGTTCATGTGACCTCATGTTGCCTTCGCAGCAGGGGATCGCAACTTTAAACGTGAAGAATAGCGTTGCAAGCTGATGCACAAAGAAGATACATTTTCGAGAAATACCGAAATTTGAAATACCCATCAGAGCTTTGTGAGCTTGTTCAAAAGGCAGCTTCGTATCGCTTTGCATCGCTCACAGCTTGGAGTCTGCGATTTCAATGGCCCACAAGCGGCTGCGGACCAAAAGGACGGTCAGACGGTCGGAGGGAGGCTTTCGCTGAATTCGAACTCGAATTCAAACTTTCACCGGATTTGCCATCAGGTTTTGCCTGACAGAAATCAACTGTGCCTGTACCCCCAAAGTTGTTTGTTTCCTTCGGGATCAAAACCATAGCCAGTGTGGCTCAAGCGTTCGCTTACATGCCATTAATGCTTCTCCAACACTGAATCTCTACCCTCTTCTTGGGTACCTGAGATGACACCAGATCGGATCCACACCTCGATTTCTTCTCAAAAAGTCCGTAAACACATTAGGTCCCGTCAGGTCCCGTCAGGTCCTGTGCAACGCTCTGTACTTGTTTTGGTTCTCAGCGGATAAAGACTATTCGGTCACCAAGTGATAGAACGGAACAGTGAGGAGTTTGATCTATATTCCTTGCCCTCTTTTCTTGGTCTTCTTCTTGGTCTTTGGAGCTCTTCAGACAAGTTCTGCCATGAACCGTGCGCTGGCGCCGTTGTCCAGCTCGCGACGCCAGGGCCCTGATTTCGGAAAGGGAGGCAATTCGCTATCCGGAGAAAAGCTTGGCAACTAGTACAACCAAATGGCAAATGAATAGTACAATATCAGGACTGCGAAAGGAGTCTTTGTCCAGCTAAGATTCCAGAACTGAGACGCCGAGTCATGAAGTCATGGCTAACATTTGTTTGACAGTGGCGACGTTTGTCGTTTGTCTGTCAATCCTTAGTCAAGACATGTATTTATAATGTACACTTGTATTACACGTCTATGGCCAGTCTGAAACGTAGGTTTCTTGTCCGTGACTTGGCGATGTGCTGCCACGGAGCAGGCAAAGAGGGGATGTTGCCATACCAAACAATGCGCATCAATTTTGCTTCTTTCCTTGCCTTGTTATCTTGGAGGCCATTGCTATAGTAGTAGGTTGGAGGCCTTCGCTATAGTAGTGGGTTGGAGGCCATCGCTATAGTAGGTTGAGGGCCATCGCTATAGTAGGTTGGAGTCGGAGGCCATCGCTATAGTAGTAGGTTGAAGGCCATCTTTATAGTAGTAGGTGGGAGGCCATCGTTATAGTAGAAGGTAGAAGGTTGGAGGCCATCGTTATAGTAGTAGGTTGGAGGCCATTTGTATACTAGTAGGTCGGAGGAGATCGCTATAGTAGGTTGGAGGCCATCGCTATAGTAAGTAGGTTGGAGGCCATCGCTATAGTAGGTTGGAGGCCATCACTATAGTAGGTTCGAGACCATTGGTATAGTAGGTTGGAGGCGTAGGTTGGAGGCTGTCCCTATTAGGTTCCTAGGCTTGTTATTTGATTTCTGAACTTCAAGCCTTGCACAGATATGTCACATGTCCGTTCTGACAGGGGGCAATACCTCAAGGTGGGCAAGGACCCTTGAATCTTGCACTTTCCATTGCTTTGTAGCGAACCTGGCAGCGCAGAGGAGTTCCAAGTGCAGCAAGTGGGAGTGATACAAAAGGACAGCTGAGCAAAACGTTTCAGGTACCATTCTACTGTCGTTGCCTGGTTGAGCAAAATCTGGACGTGCAGAACTGCCACAGACCAGAAGAAAGCCACATGGATCTCTGGAAGAAGCGCCAGGGGCTGCAGTGCAATTTGCAAGGGTTAGTTGGAGACAACAAACAAAACAACACATTGTATAGTTCTCATACACCCACAGACTTGGGGACTTGGGCTACCTGCAAGGGCTTTGCTCCTGCACGGCGCGAAAACATTTGGAGAGAAAGTGCAGCTTCGGCGCTGAGGTTGTACCTAGCCAAGATGGCAGGTATCTACACTGTAGATGAGGCCGGGTTGATGAATAGGCAAGACTACTGCGCTATTCCTTCTCTCCGAGAGCATGCTCATTTCTCAAGCATCCCGGAGTCAACAATTGGACATATGGTTGATATGTTCAGCCCACATGTTCAGTGCATGCCCTCCAGTCCTGCGACAGGTTCAGTACCAGATTGTCGGACACCTGGATGTTCTTACAACTTTTGACTCGTTCGACACAAGTTTTCCGAGGTTAAAGGGCCCGAGTTTTCCCGGGACGACAGCCCCTTCATGTTGGAGAACTTTTTGGAGGCATCAATCTATTTGGCGAGAATTGACTTCAAAAACGTGAACGCGCAAGTTTCTTTGGTATCGCCTCCTGGGAACACGTTTCTTAGCTACCGTAGATGCCAATTCTTGCAGAATCCTTTCCAAGGCATGCCTGAAAGCTGAGACATTATTTCTTGTAGAGAAAGTCCCCTTCCTAGCTAAGTTTGGTGGACAAGAGGGGGCAAAGGAAATTTAACATTAGACTGGTGGTGCTCTTGCCCATCTTGAGGTCAGAACCTGTTTCTGAGCACGACCGCGTCTCTTCGATATCGCGTTTCTTCTGAAAAATTGACTGCAGAAAAACAAACTAAGAAACTATATAGATGGTCAGAAAGACACTGTATATTTTCTGCACAAAGAAGTGGCTTTCCGCATGTTTCTGAACTATCGTGTTCTTGGCTCGGGTTTACTGAAAGCAACTTGAATTCTGACTGTGGCTACCTATGACACGTGGGATGCCACCTATGAAACGTGGTGCTTCCAGCTCCAGATATAGCAGAGAAGTTTGATTTCGATTGTTGACAAAGTTACACCCAGCCAAGAAGTTTTGTTCAACCCTCCCGATCATGAGTAAGAGGGAAAGTTTCCGGCGCAACAGAAGAAGTTCTGCTTTGTTTTCAGGTTTTGCTCCTAGTGAACACTTGCCAGGTGGAACCTGAGGAGGGTGACTACGACAAGCTTCAGGAGGCCTGCGTCTTTCAGATGTTTTCAGATTCCGATCGTGGACGATTTTCGGAGGGTGAGGCGGGCAGTGAGAGCACGGGCTCAAACTCAGATGACGGGCTCTGGACTTAAGAAAAAGGCAGTTCTCTTGTTGTTCAAAGCGCCTTTTGTTTCAGCAGCTTTGGCCAGACATTTTTTGCTTCCTACTCAGGAACAAGAACAACGTCAATCGAATGATTCATGCTGCCTTCGAGAGGCTGGTGTAAGAGTTGAGAAGCTGACAAAGTGGCTGCAAGCGAGACAAGCGAACGGTCAGATTTGTGAAAACTAAATGCCAGGTATGGCAAGCCTGACATGCCAGCCAAGTTCTGGCACAAAGATGAGGAGTGGCTATCAAGATGTGAAGGCGAAGTCAACATTCACGCCTTTTCCGTGCGAATCACAGAGAAGCTTTCTTTGCTTCTTTGTCATCAGCAAAAGCTGTGAACAGCTGCACCGGCTGCTGTACAGTGTTTGGGGGTTGTTTAAGGCGGGTATTTCTTTTTTGAGAAGATCAATGGAGAAGACCTGCTGGGTGCAACCAGACTTGTACTCGTATTTATATTTATAGGCCATACGCCAAACTTGTGTCCCTTTATGCAGAATGAGACTGTCGTTTGTCAGGGTATGGCTGGTTTGCCACCTGAAGACTACATGAATAGAAGTATATAGTTGTATGGTAGATCGGAATAATGGATCAGAGAACATAGATGGTCGTAATCTCTTAATTCAAACTCTATTTTGTTTGTATATTCGAAGCAGACAAAGAATAGCTTTTGCACAGTTGGTTGAAAGGATTTCACCTTGGATGCGATTTCGTTCGCCGGCGGTCGGACTCTGCTCAGGCCGCGGAACTCGGAAGCGGGCTGCAGCTCATGCTTTGCTGGTTCGTGGGACTGGTATCTTCCGTGTCAACGGCAATGAGGAGGGCAATTGTTTTCGATTATTGGCTGAAATCGAAAGGACGTATGAAAGAATCAGTGGCTTCAAGGTGCAGGTATGGTGTTGAGCGCGGCATTCCTTTTATATTTTGGGTGTGTGTGGTGTGTGTGGGTTGGTTCAAGACTGGATGGGTGGCTTGCATCCCCTGCTGTAAAACATGCAAAAGCATACCCTTGGTTCGAAGGTGGACACACTTGAACACCCGGCAGGGCTGAGGACACGACTTCACATGGTGACGGAAGTCATAGAGAAAGTCAAACATTTGGTGTCAGGACATGTACGCCAGATGGCCTCAGATCTACAACCGTAGGACCCCAAGTGATTGAGATAGCTGCTTTTGCTCAGATGGTCAACTGTGAGGCATCGATGTCTGCCAGCCGTTCAAGCTGACCGGCAGCAGACTCGGGCTACCCGAGGTTGATGGAACACCAGGTGATGCCAATATCATTTAAGTAGCTGCCATCTGTAGTTTATGTAGTTCACAAACTGCCATGTGTATGGATAGAATCATGTGCAGGACATGTTTCTTCGCAATTCTTGAGTTGGCCTGAGGCACTGCCGGACTATACGACGTCTTCGTTGCGGTCAGAGGGGGTGGATGGAGTGGCCAGGCCTACGCAAAACACATTTGAAAGGACAAACAGATAAAGGACATGGAAGGACAGAGGGCTTTAAGAGGGCAACTGAAACTGTGACACACCTTGCCAAAGGTTGACGGAATCCAATGCCGCAAATTAGCTGGATTGATCATGCGACGGATTTCAGGCTGGTGCAACCCGCCTTGCAATTGCGCGAGCTTTGTTTCAGGCAGGGGTGGAGCCTGAGATTTTCTGAGATAAAGGAAAGAATATGGTCGGCTGGTAATTTGTCTCACTGCTTCAGGCAAATCCAGCTTGCCACGATCGGCTTCAGGAAGGATTCTGCTTGTTGGAGGAGCTAGCAAATTCTCTTCTCTTCCAGCACACGGGACTAATAGTAAACTACAGGGTGATAAATGACCTACAAAGCTTTGAAATGAGCTGACGTGTCTCTTTTGTGCCTGCACCAGAGCTTAACATGAATTCATCTTCCAGACAGGCTGCATATAGCAGCTAGCATTTGCAGGCTTTGTGTGGCTGGTGATATTTTTTGTTACCTCATGGACGACATCTCTGCAACAACTTGGCTCAAGACAATACACCACATCGCAACCCCAACCTGCGTAATTTTGATCCCGCCAACTCAATCGCACCTCAAGACCAAGTAGAGAGGGAGAGATCATTCATTGAATAAATCACCAAAACCCATCAAGACACACTCCCAGCACTGAGCAGTCAGCATGGAGTTGTTCTGTCCAACATCAGCAAGCACCAGCTGGCCACATGCTGATAGGATGATAAAAGAGCCGCTCACCTGAGAGGAGCTGCGATTTTGCTGTAGCAGTGAACGACTCTAAAAACCATGCAACCACTTGCTCTTGCAGGATCCCAAAGCCATTGCCTTTGACCCTGCAGCAAGTGGAGTGGTTGCAGCGCAGCAGCTTGTTGGTTGGCCAGGGAGTTTGCAGGGGCCACAAGTTGAGAATGTTACCCTCCGGGACTTGTAGCTCCTTGAGTCACCACCACCTGTTTTGTGAAAAAGACAGATCTAAAGGTCCAAAGAAATAGAGAGAAACAGCTATTGATTACAGTAGGACAACATTGAGTGGAAGCTACATCCAATTGTTTGATTTTGAGCATGCTGCTATGATCGGCTACACAAGCTACTGTAACCAGTAGTGATTTTATTCAACGAAGCGCCAGCGCCCACGCACATTCGACGCGATGGTTGTCCAAGGCCAGCTAGTGGTTCTGTGACATCAGTTCTGCTGCAACCATTCTGGCTGCATCAATGGCAAGACCATTCACCCCTGGAGCACCGCCAATCCCTGGAGGACTCCCTCCCGACTGGACA